TAGCCTCCTAAACTGTAAAAGATAAATTTATATTTGTTAAAGCCATCTACTTGTGGTATTTCTGTTATAGCAGCACTAGAGAACCAAGACAGTACTCAACAAAAATAAAAAGATGAAGCCAAAAGATCCGAGATAAAGCAAATGCAGCTCAACTAGAGATCCAGGGAGTGAATCACAAGGATGATGGTGTGATGGTAAATAGTGATTCCAAGATGACAGCTGTGCAGCAAGTCTAGAGAACAGCCAGCTCCAATAGGAATAGGTCAGAAGGTTTCAAGAGAAACAACTACAAGAGATGAATAAGTAATGTATTTTAAAATCTTGAGACTAGATTTAGACAGGAAGAGTTTGAGGCTGAATTGTTAGTAAGTATTTAGAAAACTTAACAAAAGAAACAGATAAAGAGATTAAAGTAGTTGAAAATGACAAATGGAGGTGAAAGGACATCTATTTTTTTAACAACGTTTGTAAAACTGAACTCTAAACTTCGTACATGGATTCCCACTGCCATCCAGTTGATTCTGACTCATGACAATCCTATAGGACAGAGTAGAACTGCACCACAGGGTTTCCAAGACTGTAAATCTTTATGGAAGCTGACTTCCTCAACCTTCTCCCATGGAGTGGCTGTTAACCTTTTGGTTAGCAGCCAAATGTTTTAACTACTGTGCTACTAGAGCTTCTTTCATACATATGTGCATTGGTGAAAATAAACACTAAAGTTTATGAGACAGTAGAAATAAAAATTTGAAATAGCAGTTATACCTAATAAGCAATTTTCCTGTAAAAGAGAGCGGAAAAATAGGGCAGTACCTGAAGGAGGTTGGCAACATTTGGAAGTAAGGAGAATCATCTTCAAATAATTGCTCTAGGGTACTCAGGACTACTTCACTTCTTTCTTTACTTCTTCGTTAAATATAGTTTATCTGTTCCCTGAAGTCATGTTTAAACTGAACAATGTTGTTGTTTTGGGGGCTGTTGAGTAGATTCTGACTTATGGCGATCCATATATACAGGATACAGTTGCTCCATATGGTTTTCAAAGCTGTGACCTTAGGGAAGTGTATCACCAGGCCTGTCTTTCAAGGTGCCTCTAGATAGGTTCTAGCCACCAAACTTTTGGCAAGTACTCAAGCACTTAACCATTTGTGCCACCCTAGGACTCCAGACAATAGTTTAGCTTAATTAGTTAGGAATGTTTGCTTTGAATATTGTACTCTTTTAAGGAATTATCTTTATGTGATCAAATTGACAACAGTAACTCAAAAGGTTAGGTGAGTAGCTGAGGGGGCAGTGAATTTATGTTAATGATAGTGACATAATTTGGAAAATGATAACAAGAAAGGTGGCACAACTTGAAGAATATAGCCAGTGTCAACTGAATTGTCCATGTGGAAATTATTGAATGAGTGTATGTTTTGTTGTGTATATTTTCACATACACACATATATCAGTCATGTCAATTGGCTGTAACAGTAGATCTTGGGCTAGACTGTTACAGGTATAGTCTTATGTTCATTTAGCTGGTGTTCTGCTTACCTAGTGCCACTCTGACAAGAAATATACCACAAATGGGATGGTCTTAACAAACAGGAGTTTATTCTTACAATTTGGAGGCTTTAGGTCCAAGTTCAAAGTGCCGGGCTCCAGGGGCTGGGTGAAAACCCCTCAACCTTGGGGTCTAGCTCTGCCTCTTGCTCCTGGCCCACTGGAGCTAGAGGCGTTTCTTCACTCAGACAGCTGCTGGCTGCTGAGGCTGAGAAGCCCCAAGGTTGACAAGTAACAAGGCACAGTCCCAATGTTACCGAACCACATGGCAGGCCATTAACTTAAGTCCATTGTAAGTCCCAAGGTCGGCAGAGCATAGCAGGCTGCTGAGCAATGACACAGCTACATGCAGGGTCCAAGCGTGCCATAGTCTAGAGACCATTCCCAAAGCTTCTCCTTATATACAGGAAGCAGACCACATCCCAAAGGCAGCTACTCAGTTGCTTGTGGTAGATCCCACCATGGAGTTGATTGCCAGTCTCATCATGGGGAATAACTACCACCAGCTGCCCAGTCACTCAACCAGGCCCAACCAAGTTGACACACAAATATAACTACCACAGCTGGACAGCAAATACTTTTTGGAAGGCTGGCAGTTCAAACCCACCAGCCACTCCTTGGAAGGAAGGTTGGGCAGTCTACTTCCATCGTGATACTGCCTCGGAAACCCAACGGGGGGTCTTTCTGAGTCGGGTCTGACTTGATGGCACATAACTAACAACAACATCATTAACAACCATACAAAATAGCGTAATGAAGCATCAGTCTCTTGTCTTCTCAATCATTTTGAATTCACTCTTCTTGTAGTTAGCAAGGCCTAAATTCTTGAGTCCTTTTTTTTTCCCCTTTGTTGGCTCTATTTCTATAATTAAACAAGTATATATGGGTATAAAGGAGCTCTGGTGGTATACTGCCTAAGGCACTTGATTGCTAACCAGAAGGCTGGCGGTTCAAACCCACCAGTCACTCCTCGGAGGGAAGGTTGGGCAATCTACTTGCGTAGTGATATTGCCTCAGAAACCCAAGGAGCGGCTGCTATGAGTTGGATCTGACTCATTGGAAGGGGGTTTGTTTTTTGGTTTATGTGGGTATAATACAAGTCTTAGAACTAGCTTTTTAAATTTAAACTGAAACTTATTTTCTTTTCAATTCACTCAGATTGGCTCTATTAGCTTGACGTTCTTCTTTTTGTCCCAGTGATAGACCCCACCTGTTGTTACCCTAATAATGAACATGTTTGCTGAACCAAAAAGTTGTGCTTAGGTGATATTTCAAGTTTCTTCTAACTAAAATTCTGTAATTCTGTGTTCCATCTCTTTGTTGTGACAGACACTTAAAATCCTAGTATTTTATCCTGGTGTTAGTCCTTTTTATTTTATCTTTGACTCCTCCACTCATTTTCCTTTAACAGCTCTTAGCCTTTAACAGCCCTGCTTCTGCAGCCATAACCACACTGCCAATGCAGCACATTTATGCAGGGTTATTTTTTTCTTCTGAGGACAGTACACTTGAAAGCAGTGATAGAAGTTTTTAGAATCTAATGTTTTAGAACGCCTTTAATCTTTTCTTATTTAGTTAGAATCATACATTAATTTGTTATTTTCTAAATATTAAAGAAATAATGGTGGAGAATCTTTTATACCTCAAGACTGAGGATTTTTAATAGAATTAAGGTGGTTGTTTAGTATTTAATCTATGATTATAGGACATAATATCTTTCACATGGCTCACCTGGCTTGTATGTCTAGAAAGATTATATAGGATAGGGAGAGATCAATGTTAGGCCTGTGAATTAGTTTTAAACCAGTAAGTTGTAATACCTTCATGTGTGTATGAGATTCTTTTTTAATACTGTTTTTACCTTCATCTCTACCACTCCATTTCTCACTTCTTGCTCTAGTAATTAAAACTTTAAACTATATTATGCCTATATTTTTCTCTTAGAGAAAATACTGAGCCACTTGAGTTTCTCAAGTATGATGCTCTGTCATCTCATGAAGTCCTGTGCTTTTGCAAGTTACTGTTCCTGAGGCTTAGAGTCTTTTCCAGTATTGCCTCCTCTGATCCTCTTATCTATTGCTTCTCAAACAGAAATAGTCATACAGATCACATGGGGTTCTTATTCAAATGTTGATTCTGATGTTGTCAATCTAGGATGGGGCACAAGATTCTGCCTTTTCACGAACTTTCAGATATTGTTGATTGATCCTGCTGGTCTCTAGACCACATTTTCAGTAACAAGGTTCTAGACCAGCTGACTCTGATAGCGTAGTGGCTAAGGCACTTGACTGCTAACCAGAAGGCAGGCGGTTCAAACCCACCAGCCACTCCTTGGAAGGAAGATGGGGCAATCTACTTTCGTAGTGATACTGCCTCAGAAACCCAAGGAGGGGTTGCTGTGAGTTGAGTCTGACTCGATGGCGCATAACAACAACAACAAGACCAGCTGACAAACTCATTGTCATCAAGAGTTATTTCCTCTGTCTCCTCTCTCTGATTCCCATGGGTACACTTACTTGTTCCTTTCCTTGTGATGCCATTATACAATAAATACTTCATTATGCCTCTTACTATAATGATTTAAATATCTGTTTCCCTTCTCAATTGCTAATTTTTGCCTACAGGGACTGTGTCTTTCATCCTTATATCCCCGAAGCCTAACAATACTGTCTGCCAGAAAATAGGCTTTCAACAAATGTTTATTGTCTGGGTGACACACTGCTAATTAGACAGTGTTATTACAGCCTTTTTATAGTTATTTAGTGGTTAAGCACTCAGCTGCTAACCAGAAGGTTGGCAGTTCAAACCCACCAGCCACTCTGCAGGAGAAAGATGTGGCAGCCTGCTTCTGTAAAAACTTACAGCCTTGGAAACTCTATGGGACGGTTCTACTCTGCCCTGTAGTGTCTATATGAGTTGGAATCAACTCCATGGCAACAAGTTTAGTCATAATGTATATACTGAATATGAAGAGTATTTATTTTTCCATTTTAATTATCTTATCATAGCAAGTGGGAGCTCTGGTAGAATAGTGCCTAAGGCACTTGACTGCTAAGTAGAAAGAAGGCTGGCGGTTCAAACCCACCAGCCACTCCTCAGAAGGAAGGTGGGACAATCTACTTCTGTAGCAATAGTGCCTTGGAAACCCAAGTAGGGGGGTCGCTATGAGTCGGATCTGACTCAGCAGCACATAACAGCAACAACAACAACAAGGAAGTGAATTATGAACCTGAATTTTTTTTCTATAGTTCTTTCTTAGAAGGAAAAGAAAAGCCTCATTGTGCCCCAGCCAAAGGTATTTTCTTGAAAAGAATGTTTCATCCTTTTGTATAAATAAAAATAAAAAAGATTTTGAAGGCTCTGTGATGACATATAGTATTTCTCAAGATAACTTTGTAGAAGTAATTTTTTAGAAAACTAATGGCCATTTATTTTTCTTTTCACCCAAGGAGAAGTACAAATGTCTACCACAAGACGAAAACGTATTATGTTATGTTGTTTACCGTAAGCTGTAGTAAAATGAGCTCGATTGTTGACAGGTATGTTTTTAGAGACTGTTTATTTTGAATTATTTAAAACTATTTTAAAATTCACTAGTAAAGTAATGGTCTGTATCAAGCTGAAAGGAGTTTCATGCTTAAACATGATTACTATTAGGCTCGATTTCAGTACTGAACAGAGTGTAATAGTAATACATGCGTCAGTGTTATCGAGAACTAGTCAGCAGTGTTGTAAATGGGTCTTGCGCTGCAGTTTCGTGTGATTTGGTCAGAGCTACTCTGAAAAAACTTTGTGACAATTCCAAGTGTTTCCTAGGTACCTTCTAAGGTCTTCTATCTTGTTTTCTTATCTTTTTTCTCTTTATCTTTTGTGTCCTAACTCCATCCCTCAAGCATCTTAGCATTTGTGATTTATAAGAATTACTGTCATTACGATTTCATTAAAATTTTTCATTTTAAATCTTAATCTTGGGGAAAGGTTAAACCTCTTTCTTTGATTCAAAGACTTTTTGTTTTGTTAACATCTCTGAAATTGGGATGCATCTTAAAATTGACTTATCATAGTTTAATTGGTAGCATTTTTTTCTTAGTGGCACATAAAATAACTGAGTATATAATCAGTAGTGTCTTAGATTTGATAAAGTTCAATAACATTTTTTAAGCACCTACTCTAATTTAAACAGGTAATATTCAGAATGCCTTTTATGTTACTTCATTTAAAATTGCAATAATTCCGTGAAGTTTTACAGATGAGGAAACTGAAGATCAGAGAAATTAAATAATTCGTTTAAGGTCACACAGCTAGTAAGTGTTGAGGAGGAATTTTGACTATGTTGGAATTCTCATCTGTCTGATACTACAATTACTGTGCGATTCTTCCATAGCTATGAGTTTTGCAGCTAGAGCTGTACACAGAAGTGAATTCTGACATGTATAAGCAGCTCTCTTCCTTTTTCAAATAGCTAAACAATGAAGATATATAATCTACCATATCTTAATACCTGAGGACCAAGTAGTTTTCTCACAGAGGCCTGCCTATACCACTACCAATAGCTTTGGGCTATATAGTAGTAACAGGTGGGATCTATAAGTAATCTCCACCTCGGAAAGGATATTTCTTCACTGCCCCTGAGAGATTAGATATGGTTTAGGCATTACGGTTCTTTCCCATTCTAGACAAGAGGACATCTAAGGATGGCAATAAAGTTCTTTATGACAATAAAGTTCTTAATATTAGTTTCTGATCTCTCTGAATATCGTGAAAGTTACACTCTCTTTGTAAAAATTCATATATAAAGAATTTTTCATGAATTCAAGGTATATGTGGAATCCCGAAAATCCACATATGCCCTCCAGTTACAAACCCGTGTGATAAAAATTTATAGGTGATCTCAGTAACACATCCAGTGGGAACTTTGTAAGGCCGTAGAAAGGTGTGACTAAAGAAGTGAATAGTGGATTCATGTCAAACTTTATAAATTTCTTGAAATTCTTTAATATTATTCCTTATGTTAAGGGGTCAGCCACCAGGGCTCTTGATTTCATTTGTTAAAAATACTCTTTCCATTGATCTTCCCATGGCTAGCCCCTTCCTTTCACTTAGATTTCAGTTCATAAGTCCCAACTTCAACAGATCCTTCCTTGACCTCTCAGTCTAAAGTAATCACCCAGTAACTAAAAACATTACCATATGTTCACATAGTGTGCCCACAGTAATAATGCACACAGGCATATACTGTGTGTTGGAAACTCATGCACAATGGAGTTGTGAAGTTTGCAAAAACTGTATTATGCACGTTACTTGCATAAAAATATAGTACTCCTTTTCAAGAAATATGACATATCACACATTTTCCTGTTTGTTTGTTTGTTTTTCTTTCTCTCCACTAGAAAATAAGCTGCAAGAGAGCAGGGACGTATATGTCTTGTTCACTGCTCTGTAACCACATCTAGAATAGAGCCTGGCACATAGTTGCTAGTAAACATTTGTCAAATGAATCATCAAAGAAATGAAAATGTATAAATACAAGTTAATATGCTAGATACTGTGATTTTTATTATTGTAGTTTTATAAAGCATATGTCTCAGGAAATGTTTAAAACTATGCTATTATAATTAGTAAAAATAATTTCAAGTGAATGATTTTATGTAATGCCAAATACACGGACTTTCTATTAGGTAATTGATTACTTAAAGTTAGAAATGATATTTAGCATCTGTTTAAATTAAATTCTTAGCATATTTTATTCATAGGATGTTGTGTTGTTGTTATGTGCCATCGAGTCAGACCTGACTCACAGCGACCCCTCCTTGGGTTTACGAGGCAGTATCACTATGGAAGTAGATTGCCCAACCTGCCTTCTGAGTAGTGTAGCTAAGTAAATACAGTACAAATTCATGTATGTAAATAAACTCTTAAAAATGTAAATAAACATACTTATTTTTATTTAATTTGATTTTCTAATATTTATTAGTAACCAAGTTAGTAATTACTGACTTTGAATCAGTGCTGTTAACTTTAAAAAAATCCTGGCAATAACAGATTTGCTTCACGTGTCATTTTACTATTGTTGTTGCTTAATCAGTCTGCACCTGTTTTCTCTGTTCACTTTTTTTCTTTTTTAGAGATGACAGTAGTATTTTTGATGGTTTGGTGGAAGAAGATGACAAGGACAAAGCAAAAAGGTAAATGTATGTAATGTAATTGTATATAGATCATTTCCAAAAGCCCTTGCCTTAAGAATTTAGATATATTAGCAAGGTAGAAAAAACTTACAATATCAGTATGCAGTTTGTGAACTAAGATTATTCTGACCTTTTGTAGAAGTACTGTTTTTGCTTAAACAAAAACGGAATTAGAAAATCTGACTTCACAAATCAGAATTAGAGATGTTACAAAATGATCAGTTGATTTATAAATAATTGCATTCATTTAAGTCTCAGGCGCTCCCAGTGCATTACTACTTTATATATATATAAATTTTGAGTTTTTTTTTTAACTGTTTCATATTATACAACATGAGAGAAAGCAGGGAAATTGCTGAGAAGCTTAAAGCCAAAAAGTACAA